TAAAACACTTGAGACATGCGTCTGGAACACTTGCAACATACGTGTACAAAAAAACAGATGAAACATTGGGATAGATGTTTGCAACATACGTGTACAATCATTGCAACATATGCAACATTCTGATCTACTTTTGCAACATCCGCCCGAAATAATTGAAACATATATCTGAAACAAGTGAAACACTTGAAACATAGGCTTGCAGCATGTCTGAAAAAACGTCTAGAAACACTTGAAACACAGCATCGTCGCGCGACCATAACATACCTGGTGGGTAACTGGGGTGGCGCAGGGCTCCCCTTCGTGCCGACAACGCGAGGTACGTGGATGGGGGCGCAGGCGCCAGCCTCACCTGCTTCCCCTTCCACGACGGGCGAGGGGGATCGACGTGGCGCTGGATGGTGCGCGCCCGCATGCCCCCGCCGTCGCCCGAGGGAGAGGAGACGCTGCTGGACCTGAAGAGGGCGCCGGCGGCCGGGTTAGGGGAGGATCAGCGGCTTACTTGAGCCCACCGGCCGCGTGCCAACGGCTTGCTCGAGCCGCCATGGAGTGGGGGACGGTCGCGACCACAGCGGCGGAGAAGGCGAGCGAAGGGGTGCTGTGCGGTGGAGGCGCCCCCAGCGGCCGATGCGAAATGGGGAACGGAGTGTAACTCTATTTTATTTCTTTTTTTAGGAACTCTGTATGCGGGAGCAGGCTGTGGGCCGGTCCGCTGGTCCAGCTAGCCGCATCCGGACGGACCGACATGGGACGGACGCCCTAGCCCAAGCATTATTGTACTTTTTTGGAATATTTATTTACTATAAGAATTATCCACAATTTGGAATACTAGGTTACTCGTTACTGTATGTATTATACTACTAGGCTTCACATGTACGCTCATTGTACTAGCTTAACAAAAAGATATTTACAGCACTTGAAGCACAGAAAGCTCTCCAAAATAAATCATTTTTTTGAACGCAATGGCAGGAACTCTGCCTTTCAATTATGATAGGGAAAGAAAATTTATGTACAAGCAAGGACAAACGAGATTATGGTTACACCCCCCCAATAAGCATGTAAGCTAAACATAATGGAGTGTTCTCTTCCTTTGCTCTATGTCTTCCTTTATCTTTGCAGCTACTTGCGACGCAGTTTGTGTCTTGTTGTCGAAAATTCTCCTATTTCTCTCTTTCCATATATTCCAAAAGGTATAGATTACCACCCCGTTAAGCCGCCTACGCTCAAATTTTGGCACTTTCATTGCCGCATCATCACACCATGACCTGATATGGGTGGGGTCAACCTGGGGCTGTTGCTGTAGTTGAGTGAAGTTTTCCCACGAGAGGATTTAATCCCAAATCTCTTTCGCTAAAGGGCAACAAAGGCATAGGTGTAGGCTTGTCTCTAAGGGACCGTTGCACAGCACGCATTGTTGTTGGTGTGACCACCCTCTCTTTTGTAGGTTTTGTGCCGTTAGAATTTTATCTTGCACTAAGATTCAGGCGAAGATCTTGCATCTGTTCTCCACACGTGCTTTCCAAATCAAGTCCGTATGGAAGGGGACAAGCGAACCTTTGAATTGGATTCTGTAGGCCGAGCGGGTGGAGTAATTCCCATCCTTCGTCTAACACCAGGAGATGGTGTCGTGGATGCCCTGTTGTAGGTGCACATCCTGCATTCGTATCCAAAGGGACACAAACTCCTCTATGTCGATAGCCGAGGTGATTTTCCTTCCTAGCTTATGCATCCAATTGTTGTTCCGGAGCTCTTGTTGCACCGTTCGGTTTTTCCTTGAGACTAGGCGGAACAAGTTCGGGGCTAGGTACCTAGGAGCTTGTCCATCAAGCCAACTGTGGTGCCAAAACTTAGTCTTTACACCATCCCCCAAAGATATAATGATTGAGGAGTTGAAGAGGAGACGATCATCATCAGAACATGGAAGTTCCGAGCCGCTCCAAGACTTGGAGTCGTCCACCCACTCTTGCCAAAGCCATCGCAACCGAAGGGCTCGCCCAAATCTCTCAAGGTCAAGGATGCCTAAACCGCCCAGGTATTTAGGTCTGGTAACTGTTTACCAATTAACTAGGCAGTGACCGCCATTAGCATTCTCCTCCCCCTTCCACAAGAAAGACCTCCTGATTTTGTCGATCTTTTTCTTAGCCCAAGCAGCCAGAGGAAACACTGTCAGGTGGTAGGTTGGCATGGAGGAGAGGACAGAGGCAACAAGAGTGAGGCGTCCCGCTCTGTTTAGCCATCTTCCTTTCCATTTGGGTAGCCTGTGCCCAATACGGTCTATAAGAGGTTGCACATGGATCTTTTGCAGTGATCTGATGTGGAGTTGCAGCCCCAAATATTTGCACGGGAAGCCCCCTCTAGTACCGGTGAAAGGTGATAGGACTTGGTCTAGGTCGATGTTTGCACAACCGATCGGATGCACTGAGCTCTTTTGTAGATTAATATGGAGTCCTGAGAATGTGCCAAACGCCTGCAGGATGATTTTGACGACTTCTACATCGTCTTTTGTGGGGCTGATGAAAATGGCCGCATCATCTGCATACATCGAGGTTCTCCATTTTGCCGCCGTGATTGGTAAGGGGGTGAGTATCCCATGTTGGGTTGCTCGGTCAAGTAACCGTTGAAGCGGGTCCATAGCTAGGATGAATAGCATGGGTGAAAGCGGATCTCCCTGGCGGACGCCTCTGCCATGGCTAAAAGTGGCCCCCTGCCGCCCATTTAGCAAGGGTGTCGAGGTGGATGTACGTAGGAGGATAGAGATCCATTCACGCCAACGTTGTCCGAAGCCCAAAGCCTGTAAAACTTCAAGCAAGTACCCCCAATGTACCGTATCAAAGGCCTTGTGGATGTCTAATTTCATGAACAAAGCCAGTATCTTCTCCTTGTGTAGTCTTTTTACCGCACCCTGGACGTAAAGAAAATTATCATGGATGCTTCTCTTTTTTATAAATGCGCTCTGACAGTTGGAGACGAGGGAGTTCAGTCGAGGGGCAAGTCTATTAGCTAACACTTTATAGAAGATCTTTGCAATGGCATGGACTAGGCTGATGGGTCTAAAGTCAGTAACTCTTGTTGCATCCACTTTTTTGGGTATAAGGATAATGGAAGCCGAGTTTAGCCATTCGAAGCCCTGGGCATTCAATGTGAATAGGCTGTTCATGGCTGCCATAACATCATCTTTAATGATTTCTCAACAAGCTTTGAAGAAGGCACCCGTGAAGCCATCCGGTCCTGGCGCTTTGTCGGAGGGCGTGGAATATATAGTGTTTTTTATCTCGTCCTGGGAGAAAGGCACCTCTAGATCGGAGAGATCATGTTGGTTGTAGCCAAGGGCTTGCCAATTGATTGTGGAAGCTCTCGGAGCCACGGAGCCAATGTGGTTTCTAAAATAATCTTGTATCACCTTTTCTTTCTCTTGATGAGCCACCGCGATCCCCCCATCCGTATGTAGACAATGTATGTAATTCTTTCTCCATCGTACATTGGCTCTACTGTGGAAAATTTTTGTGTTAGCATCTCCACACCGAATGTATGTTAGTCTCGATCTCTGTCTGATTCTTGATTTTTCAATGGCTGCGAGCCCAGTGCTACGGGTTTTGAGGCGGCGACATAGGTGAAGCTCCATGGCAGTGAGCAACCTATGCTCTTGGGCCTCCTCTAATTGTAACACTACTTCTTTCACTATGGCGAGCTGCATCCTCGTGTCCCCTATCTTGTCTTTGTTCCAACGCTTGATCGCTTTTGCCACCCGCGCTATTTTGATATGCAAGCGTTTCATAGGAAGAGCAGAGGCGACCGACCTATTCCAAGTGTTATGGACAAGATCTTGAAAGCCTTTCATCTTAGTCCAGTAATTTTCGAAGCGGAAGGACATGCTCTGATGGTGGTCAAGCTCTCCCTGGAGTAGCAGTGGGGTATGGTCCGACATGAGCGATGGGAGGGAGTGTAAGAAACACACGGGGAAGAACAGCTCCCACTCGGGGGTACATAGTAGTCTATCAATTCTAGTGAGCGTCGGGTTGTCCTGTTGATTGCTCCAAGTGAAGCGACATCCATTCAGCTTGATTTCTTTGAGCCTCAAATGATCGATCGTCGCTCTAAATGCCCCCATGAGGCGCCGGTTTAGATTGGAGTTGTTCTTGTCTTTCGCCATGTAGATGAGATTGAAATCTCCTAGGATGAGCCATCTATTATGGACCGGCGGGGGAATGTTCTTCAATTCTTGGAGGAATTGAAGTTTGGCCGGCTCCCCCTACGGGCCATATACCACAGTAATTTGCCACCCTGTTCCATCTGCCCTCATGTTGATCTGCGCGGTTATAGCGTTCGAGTTAAGAACAATGTCGGAGAGGTCGAAGAAGTCTTCATTCACTGCAAGGAAGACGCCTCCTTGAGTCTGTTCCGTCGGTAGCACAGTATAGGAGTTTACAAATTTTGCTCCGACTGTTTGGCATACCACATTATGATCCATAACTTGCATCTTTGTTTCTTGTAGACATACGATGGTGGCACCAGTGGTTCTAACTAACTCGCTCATCGAGTCTTGCTTGGCTCCATCATTCAAGCCCCTGACGTTCCAGTTAAGTATCTGACAATTTAACTGTGCCATAAGGAAACCAATGGGCCCCTATTTAAGATTAACATGCGGAGGGAGGCAAGCAGGAAACCCTCTGGGGCAGTGGTACCGGCAATAAGCAGTAAGATAATCACACGGAGGCATGAGGTCATGAAAACTGCAAATTGGAGTCACCGATACATCTGAAAGTCGTTGGTTGTCGGTGCGATACAAAGCAAGAGTTTGTTGCTCACAGAGTTGACGCTACAGCTAACTACAAGATGAAGGGTCCATGCAGTGTGGTGGGGAGGCGACTGTAGGCCTCTGGCTATCACCCCGCCCAAGCACCATGGCTAGACACTCACAAAAGATGTGGAACTCCTGGAGCTCCCGGAGCGGTGATCGATCACTAACATAGTACAATGATCTGCCCATGTGCTACAACAGCTATCTAGGCGTGCGTAGTGGGCAATGCTGCCGCCGCGTCGAGGCCACACAACGCCGTCAGCGCCTTCACGGCGTTGTCGGTGAGTGGTCCCTTGAACAGGTTGAAGTAGCACAACAGCGCCTCGTCATGGCTGAGACCTTCGACGTCGAGGATGCCAAGCCTTTTCATAAGCACTTGCCTGGCCTTCACCTGAGTGTCACCCCTTGGCCAGTTCATGGCCGCGATGCGCACGCTACTGCGTGCCAGGACCGGGGGCCTCTTGCATCGCTGTGGCGGGCTGGGCTGGCGCACTAGACCCTGCAAGATGGGTTGAGGCAAAGGTTGTGATATCCCCTCTAGGAATTGCGACACCGCCGCTGCAGTGATAGGCGTGCTCTGGCCAGCGTCGTGTACCTCTGGAGTGCTCAAGTGACCGACGCTGGTCTGGCCCGGTTGCTGTTGCTAGAGGCCATCTTCCATGCATCGACGGCGCGAGCAGTTGGTGGGCGTTCCGCGTGCGCAACGTTTGGAGTAGACAAGGCTAGGGTGGAACCGCAGCACCTGGGTGCTTCCTGTTGGTTGTGCCTGCTTCCGGTGTGTGTGGGGGACACACGGCCGCCTGGAGTAGACTCGTCCCGTGCGAAAGCGGCTTTCAGCAGCGAGGTGTGATCGCTGCTGTGTCGTGTTGTCGTGGTCGCTGACGGGGGCAACCTGTAGTTCATTCAGGCAAGAAAGAGTCACGGCGGTTGTGAGCGGCTCCGAAGAGTAGTTGCTCGGTGGTGCGGCCTTGCTCAGCGCTGCGACATCAGGTGGGGCGTTCGGCTTTCAGGTTGGAGAAGCTGAGAGCGAAGGAATGAAAGGCTGATCATCGAACTGACACTGGTTAGCACAAACCTTGGGGGGGCTTGGTAATGGGTGATGGTTGTTGCCGTTGCCACCGCTGAAGTTGGGCGACTTGCAGTGCAGGCATGGTGTCGGGGACTCTGAGGGCATCATTGTCGTCCTTGGCTCCGAACGCGCGTGCCTGTGCGGCCTCCAGTGGGGTATCCGTTCCCTACTGCGACCCCTGGTTCTGCACTGTACATCCCCGAGCGACCAGGATCAGCGGGCTTCGCGAGTAGCTGCCGAGCCGTCACGTTTGCACCATGGCCAGCAGCGTCGCTTGGGGCAGATAGGCGGGTGCCTTGGCCAGCAGCGACGTCGTCCAGTGGGTGACGACGACCCCCATGTTCGAGGCTCCGGTGTCGACGGCCACCGTGCCTGGACTCCGAACGCTCCCGCTCGCAGTCCTTGGGCGCCTGTGAAAGGCTGCGGGCGAGACGTGAATACCAGTTGTCGCCCTAGCGCTCTCGGTGTCCACGACGGTCGTCGTCGTCGTCGTCGCGATGGCCGGCGTGGATGTCAGCAGGCGGAGGGTCATGGCGGTCGCGCGGTGTCCTTTCCCCATCAACGACCCCGTAGTCCCACGTGTATACGCGGGGAGCAGCAGCACGTCCATCTCTACCCGGGGGTCCTCCACCAGGTCAAGGTGCACCAGCACCCTAAAGGTAAGTCCCCGGTGTCCGCGAGCTGGCTACGAACTGTGGAACTCTGCCTTCCTGCACGACAAGGTCAGCCAGGTTACCTTTGGAATGTTGGACAGGTTGTACGTCCAGGCCCAGACACAGAGTGCCCTGGTGTCGGCGCGGTCCAGCGAAGCCTTCTCGACGTAGTCCAGGTCGCAGGCTCTGGCGATGCTCTCGTTCCAGGCGTGAAGGGAAATGCCCTCTAGGCACAGGCGAACGCGGTACTTGAGGTCGCAGATGTCGCCGTGCGTGACCAGCTGCCACGGCCTTGTGTGGATGTCGAGGTTGCGATAGGGGAAGGTCCCCTGTGCCACAGCCTCGTCGCGGTGGTGCCGGTGCTTGAAGTCGATGAAGAAGTCTTTAGGGGCGTGCCTGACGACGGTGACATCCTCCGGACGAATCGGAAACTGGTGGCAGATGGCCCTCTTGATGACGTCCGGCTCCACCACCGGTCGGTTCCCCCCCAGCCAGGCCACCATGCCATGCATGGAGAGACGGTCGAGCTCTTGGTCCATGTTGTCGATGGAGAAGGCCACGGCGCAGGTGTCCAGAGGACGGACAGTGGGGTCTCCTGGCCTGGCCATCGCTGCCGTACCCAGAGGAGGGAAGTTGGTGTCGTTCAGTGGTGGTGGAGCAGTCTTTGGTGTGGGAGCTTGCTGCCTGGGGGAAGAAGGTCTGCTTCTGCACACAAAGCTTTTATGCCCCCAGCGGCCACAAGAGAAACACCGCACCGGGTCCCTGCAGTCTGCCGCAGCGTGGCCAGGGGAGAGACAACGGAAGCATTTACCTCTCATGCATCGCTGCAGTTCATCGCTGTGGTGGTGGCGCGGTGATTTGACCTGGGTGGTTGAGGGAGTTGAATGCGGCGTGCTTTTGAACTCCGGGAGACGCCACCAGTGTCTCGGGCGCACCATTGACCATCCGTCTTCATCTTCTGATGCGAGGCGCGCGCGTGAATGCGCCCCATCAGCCAGCTGCCACGCCCCGGTGATAGCCCTGAGCCATCCCCCTCGGGAAGGGAAATCTCCATCATAACCGGGTGCTGCGGACTGGAGGTGGGGAGTTGAATGCCCGGCGAAACGAGCGCTAGCGGCACACCTCACAGCAGCGGATCTCAGGCACGATTTAGTTGGCACAGCGGCGTTGGAGTAGTAGCTTCTCACCAGGAGGTTGCAGAGGGGGGAGGCGAACTTGACGCGCTTGCCCGACGTGCCTCCTGACTTGACGGCCCCGGCGGCAGCAGCAGCGGGAGTAGCACTGGTTGCGTCGAGGCGGAGCTCCGGCCCCACGGCGACCGAGATGGCAACAGGGGCCGCGCCGTGAGCGGCGGCGGGCGCAGCAACGGGCGTGCGGAGCCGGAAACACGGCCCCACGGTGGTCGATTCGGGGATTGGGCGGCGGGGAGGTGACGCACGGGGTGGGAAGCGGTGGGGGATGGTCTCGATCTGTGGCAGGGGGCCACCGTCAGGCTTGCGAGTGGGATGAGGAGGACGACCGCGGGGTGGGGAGCGCGTGGAGGCACACGGCGACAGGGGGCCGCGGCCGGCGGCGGCGGATCTGGGTCGGGGGGCGGCGTACGGGGCGGGGGCTGATTTGCTTGAAAGAGTTCACAGCAGCAGACTGTACACAAGTGACAGGTCCCAGTTTGTTTCTTCAGTAGTAGCAGCAGTCTCAGTTAGCGGCCGCTGGACATCCAGAACCACGCCCAAATCCATACCCATGCAGCGTGCTAATTGGGTAGGTTATGGATATTGCACATTTAGATTTTGGTATGGGTAGCAACGTAGCGTATAACTGCTTCTATTCTGGATAAATACTATTTTCAGCTGAAACAAACATTCAAGCTGTCGGGCTTGTCTGCTGCACAACTGCTACGACAGCCTGAATCTGTTCAACAGCTTTCTCCAACAAATTTACCACTGCAAAAATGCAAACAAGTAATTCTACTGGAAAGGACTCTTCTATACAATGGACAAGATGCCAAATCTCCATATAAGAGAACATCAAGAGATGTGCCATCAGAAAACTCAATATCCACATGACCTTTTGAATCATCTGTCTCCTTGTCAGTTCCAGATCGGATGGACAAAAATTTTGCAATCAGAAAAGAGCTTTTTCATATCATCAGCTATTATATCCATGGTAGACTTCCAACATATGTACTGTTATATCCCATGGTAGATTTCCAACATGTCCTATTATATCCCTCTTATCAACTTTGGTGCAAAATCTTCTTTCTCATGTTCCGTTTGTAAGGCTGGGTTTTCAGATAAGATCCTCCTCTGAAATGGATATCAAGAATGTCACTGCCCATGAGTAAAAGAATGAGAGGGATAGCACAGAAGGATGTATGCTTACATTATCTGCATCATCCATAGCTAATGCCCTCTATTAGGCAGCATCAGTCTGAACAAGAATAGTCAGTCAGATAACACAGATACCTTTGAAACATAGCAATTGTGAAACACATAGATCTGGCAAAGCCCTACAACAACAACAACAAAGCCTTTAAGTCCAAAACAAGTTGGGGTAGGTTAGAGTTGAAACCCAGCAGAAGCAATCAAGGTTCAGGCACGTGAATAGCTGTCATGTGCGGACGCACATATGCCAGGCGCGGACGCGCCCGCGACGTGCGCCGGGCGGCTGAGCGCGCTGGGCAGGCGCTGCATGGGTTAGCCTCTAGTGGCTAAAGATAGAAACTTAGATTAGTAAGTTGTTTTGGAAATTCCTAGAATCAAGGAGAGCCTTCTCCATTTCGGTTGGGCCATTGGCCATATATGCTTATAATCGCTTGACAATCAGCAAAGGAAGAATTATATCCCTAATCTCTCTCTCTGTTAAGCCTGCGGTTGAGGGGGATAACCTCACCGGAGAAGACGGCTGACGGCTACGAACTGCGTAGCCGCGGTCCGGCCAGTCCGGGGTTCGACGCCCTTGACAACCTGGTATCACGGTCACGTCGGTCCTCTCCCACCCGCTCCACCCATTCTTCCACAGCCGCCGCCCACCACCCTAGCCCTCCACCATCGCTGCAGTCCTCCACCGCTTCCGCGCCGCAGCCAGCAGCCATGAGCGATCCCACCATCGCCGATGTGATGGAGATGTTGAAATCCATCACCACGGAGATGACAACCATGAAGGCCGACATGGCGGCTATGAAGGAGAAGTCGGCCTCGTCGTCGGACAGCGGCGCCGGCGGCCGCCCGGAGGGGCCGCGCGATCTAGATCGCCCCCCAAAATTCCAAAAATTGTATTTTCCCCGCTACGACGGCAAGACCGATCCGATGCTCTTCATCAACAAGTGCGAATCCTATTTTCGCCAACAGCGCACCATGGCGGAGGAGCGCGTGTGGATGGCCTCGTACAATTTGGAGGATGTCGCGCAACTCTGGTACCTCCAACTCCAGGAGGACGAGGGCACGCCGCCGTGGGGGCGATTCAAGGAGCTCCTGCACTTGCGGTTCGGGCCTCCCCTCCGCTCGGCTCCGCTGTTCGAGCTCGCCGAGTGCTGGCGTACAGGGACCGTGGAGGAGTACTCCAATCGCTTCCAGGCCCTCCTGCCTCGCGCGGGTCGTCTTGATGAGGCTCAGCGCGTCCAGCTCTTCACCGGCGGACTCCTGCCGCCGCTCAGCCACGCCGTCCGCATCCACAACCCGGAGACGCTCGTGGCCGCCATGAGCCTGGCGCGCCAAGTGGAGTTGATGGAGATCGACCGCCCGGTGCAGCCTCCCCCTCGGGCGCCCCTGCGCGGCCTCCTTCCTGCTCCCGCGCCCCGGCCAGCGCTCCAGGCGCCCCAGCAGCCGCTGGCGCTCCCTGCCCCTCCGGTGGCCGCCCAGCAGGGTCGCGGCGAGGGCAACCAGAGGCGCCTCACCCCCGATGAGATGGCGGAACGGCGCCGTCTGGGTCTCTGTTTTAATTGCAATGAAAAATATACCCGTGGCCATAACAGGTTTTGTCGGCGCATCTTCTTCCTTGAAGGTGTGGAGCTCGAGGACGCCGCGGACACCGCTGACGACGCAGAGCACGACGCCGAGGCGCCCTGTTTTTTCCTGCAGGCCGTGGCTGGGGTTCCCATGGCGGGCACCATGCAGCTCACCGTGGCACTTGGTGCCACGTCCCTCGTCGCCCTCCTCGACTCCGGCAGCACACACAACTTCATCTCGGAGGAGGCGGCGCGGCGCTCCGGTCTACCCCTCCGCCAACGCCCCGGCCTCACAGCCTTGGTCGCCAATGGCGAGCGGGTCACATGCGTCGGCGTCATCCGCGACGCGCCCCTGCTCATCGACGGCGAGTCGTTCCCGGCCAACCTCTACGTCATGCCACTGGCCGGGTACGACGTCGTCCTCGGCACCCGGTGGCTCGGTGAGTTGGGGCCCATTGTTTGGGACCTCGGCCGCCGGCGCATGTCCTTCCAGCGCCAGGGGCGCCCCGTCTCCTGGACCGGCATGGCCAGCCCCTCTGTGCCGGCCCTGGGCGCAACAACAGAGGCCAGTCCCCTCCTAGAGGCGTTGTTGCTCTCGTTTGGGGGGCTCTTCGCGGACCCCGTCGGTCTGCCCCCCAGCGTGCGCACGACCACCGCATTACTCTCAAGCCCAACGCCCAACCGGTCGCCGTCCGCCCTTACCGGTACCCCGCGGCGCACAAGGACGAGTTGGAGCGAAAGTGTGCCGCCATGATTGATCAAGGGATCGTTCGCCGCAGCGACTCACCATTCTCGTCGCCCGTCCTCCTCGTCAAGAAGCCCGATGGTTCGTGGCGCTTCTGTGTCGACTACCGAGCGCTGAACGCGCTCACCGTCAAGGATGCTTTCCCGATCCCGGTGGTCGACGAGCTACTCGACGAGCTCCATGGCGCCAAGTTCTTCACCAAGCTGGACCTCCAGTCCGGGTACCACTAGGTGCGCATGCACCCGGAGGACGTGCACAAGACGGCGTTCCACACCCACGATGGCCTGTACGAGTTCCTGGTGATGGCGTTCGGGCTGTGCAACGCCCCGGAGACATTCCAGGCCTTGATGAACGACATGCTCCGCCCGTTCCTGCGTCGCTTCGTCCTGGTATTTTTTGACGATATTCTGATTTACAGCAAGACATGGGCTGATCATCTTCGCCACCTCCGGGCCGTCCTCGACGAACTACGCCGCCACCAACTCTTCGTGAAGCGCACCAAGTGCTCTTTTGGTGCTTCCTCCGTCGCCTACCTCGGCCATGTCATATCCACGACGGGTGTGGCCATGGACCCGGCCAAGGTGCAGGCGATCCATGATTGGCCGGCTCCACATTCGCCCTGGGCTGTGCGCGGTTTCCTCGGCCTCACCGGGTACTACCGTAAGTTCGTCCACAACTACGGGGCGATCGCTGCACCACTGACGGCCCTACTCAAGAAGGAGGGTTTCTCCTGGGACGATGCGGCGGCCGTGGCATTCACAGCGCTCAAGGCCGCCGTCACGTCCGCCCCCGTCCTCGCCATGCTCGACTTCGCCAAGCTGTTCACCGTCGAGTGTGACGCATCGACGTTCGGCTTCGGTGCGGTCCTGGTCCAGGAGGGCCATCCGGTCGCCTTCTTCAGCAGGCCTGTGGCACCT